GTTTTTATTTTTATAGTTTGTTGGATAACAGTAGAGCTTCTATGGCACATACAGTATAGTTAAGCTCAAAGTTATTCATGCTTGTGCCAACATGAGCAGCCAAAATGCACAATTCTGTCTCAGTGAGAGGCTGTGACTTTGAGCTCAGGAAATCTTTGTTTTTAGCCTTAACTTGCACTTGACTAGAAACTGACTTGGGTACTAGTGCATCAACTGTTCTGCATTTATAGTATATTCAAAAGCTCTCAAACATGGTGGAAAGGACCATTAGAATGGTATAGAAGTTGTATATTTGTAAAAATTGGGCAATTTCCAGGAATAAGAATCATTTTAAAACAAAAAACACAAAAACTGAAATAGTTAAAACTTATAATTAACATCTAACGCAATGTCTTCTTGCCTTTTGCCACTTTTTAATCTTCCTGCTAGCCAAAAGAAAGCTATAGAAAGAAACGTGGCCGTAAATAATTTGGTTCATAACTGTGAGAAAAAGATATGCTCTCCTAAAGGCGCGCAATTAAAATCAAAATAATCAGTTTGTTTGTCTTGTAATTTGGTTGAACCAGCCATTTTACACTCATGAATTTCCAAAGGTGTGATTAAAGCAGAGTCTCTGGATGATTTTTCACACTCGTTTGGCCGCACATCTGTCGTATTTGCTCCTGATCCACTTAATCCATTGTGGAAATGGGAGACAATCTTTCCGTAATTAGGGGTTTCAGTTTCACCAGCGGTGTTATCAAGAGCACAACCAACATGCCGAGCCCAAGGCCTGTCGAGTTGTCAGTATATTCTGTACATGAAGAAATGACTAGCAGTAAAGGCCAAGCACCCACACACACACACACACACACACACACACACACACAAAGCTCTCCTTAACAGCCTCTAACATCCTACCCTTTAGCAAATTTCTGACTCCCGGAGCTTGATGCGCACAAGAACAGACAGCTACAAATCACTGCGCCGTCTATGAGTTATCTCTGTCAATTACTGACGATAAATGGCTTTGGCACTGCGAAGGCCAGGTGCATCAATCCAACGCGCCTCACGTTGTCCTAGCTTCTCCACTCTATTGATTCTCCTTCCACCGCTTCCATGATCCAGTTTTGATGGCCCCTGACCGCAAAAGCTAACTTGAGCGCTGATGTCAGATGAAAGGGGGGGATATGTAACACAAACTCCCACCCGGGGACATGTTCACATTCTTGATATCAGATCTTCCTTCCCTCCCAACTGAGCCTTAATATAGATCCAGTGGAGTCAACCCACTACAACTTACACTCTGCCCGTACCAGATTTCAATCAAGGTCTGATTGCAACGCTATACCTTTTTTGCGGGGAGGAAAAACTCCCACTTTCGTAATATTTTCTGACCTCAAAGGCGCTTTGAATGCACATCTTCTTATAGAGGATATCTGGCGGCACACGACTACGTATATTTATTCATTCCTTTCTCTGTCTCCCCCCTATCTCTTTTGTCAGCTTTTTTTTTTTTCCCTCCCCAGCAGAGCTAAATGTGCTTATTCTACCCATCTCACCTCCATAAAATGGCTGTCAGATGTATTTATCTGTCTAGGGCCTGTGGCTTAACAGAATGACCATTCAGCGAGCCGGGGATGGGGGTCTATTGTGAGCGGCTCGTCCTCTGTACCGCAGCTGTCTGCTGAGGGCCGCGATGGCTGTCTGCAGGATCGCCCACCACTGCTTTGAGTGATTTTCTCTCTTTCACTCTGCCCGGGGCGCTCCGTGTGTTGGAGGCATTGATCGGCACTGAATTGGATCGCGGCGGGCCTGATTACTGATGTCAGTGTGTGCCGGGACACGTGGGAACACTGGAGCTCCTCCATGCCAAGCCGGGGCTAGCTCACAAGCAGAGGGGATGGATGGATGGATGGATGGATGGAGGGGTGTATCGCTCGCTGGAATTACATTTATCAGTCAGAGTGTGAACACAACATGCCCACACATACTGTACACTGAAATGACACATAAACAACCTGCCAACATTATCTTGTTCTATTCCTATAGCGGCGAAAGTGTTCGTGATTGGCATTAAATAGGCACTGCGGGGGCACGTTAGACTACATCACGCCAGGAAATTTCCCTACTGTAACTTCATTTTCTGCTTTTTAGAGTTACTTCTTTGAAAGAATGAAAAAAAAAAAAAAACGAGAGAGATTCTTCAGTGCAAGGTTAGGACTTTGTGTGCGTTTGCATTCGAGTGTGTGTGTGTGTGTGTGCTTGGAAGCGATTCTCCGCGCATCATTTGTTTACACCTGGAGTAGTGGCCATCATCTTTTCCACTAAGAGAACAATAGCCATTTTTCCCCTCCTTTGCTCAGGAGACAATGAAGTGCCTTCCCGCCTCGCGAGCGACAGGCCAATAAAAAACGTAATTGGATCTGTCAATCAAACCCTGCTGCAGCGCGGGGGTGGGCAGGCAGGTGGGTGGGCGGCGGTGGCAGAGGCGGGAGGGTAGCCGGACAACGGGAGTAGAGGAAGAAGGGGATAAAGAAGAGGGAGAGACGAGGAGGAGGTGGAGGAGGAGGTGTGTCGTTGCAAAAGGCGGCAACTCGCACACACACACAGCTTCCTTCTTTGCCTGCAGGCGCTCAGCAACAGTTACAAAGGTGTACAATTGTTGTGTTTTGTTGTTTGTCTGTACCAGGGCCAGGGGGGTGACGATCTGTCTTTGTTTGTAGGTATTAGTGGGTCGGTGATGTGACTTTGATGCAACTACACAGGAGAGCCGGGGCTGCCAGAGCCTCTGAAGGTCACAGTGGATGTACGAGTGCTGATGTGTCTGTCTGTGCTTTGTATGCGCCCGAGCCGTCAGACATGTTGTTTTTTCGTACCAGGGAAAGGTCCTGTCATTAGTCAGGAAGGCCAGGATGCTTTAGTAGTATTTTTCACGGTACAACACACACACTGAGCATCACCCTGTCACATTAAATCAGCATATTTGTGTATGTGCTTATCCTAGCCTAGTCTAGGTGCGTGGATCGTGTGCGCGTTCGCCGGCAGATGAGCAGCGCGTATGTCCGCACGTTTTCATCGCACGCATTTGTCCGCCGCTCTAAGTTTTAATGACGACTACTTAAATTAAGAGCCCATTTACCGCCTGTCTCACGGAGATGCTCAAATATTCTTGGCTCCGTCTCTGAGCCCTACCTCGGCTTTTAGGAGATGGCTTTCTCATGTCTTTGGTGACATTCTTTTTCCATTATTAGCCGAGCTGGAGATTGTTACAGAGGGAAGCTGCGCCGTCGTTCCTTGCAATATAGTCCCGAGCATACTGTAATGCTATTCCGTATCTCTTTTTATGAATAGACAAAGGATGTTTTAACTGTGAGTACGAGCGAGGCATTGAGCACGGTGCAGGTCTTTAGACCGCCTCGGCAGTTAAAAGGACTTGCGGAAGACACTACAGTATGCACAGTCACTGCAAGGTTGCAGTTTTATTGCCTAGTTTCTGAACTTTCTACCTTCCTAAAAACTTGGAGGGAAAGAATACCTCTGGAGGACACACGGCGCCTTGAATCGGGACAAGAACATGCTCCTATACGCCCCGTTGCACTTAAAAAAATGCTACGAAACAAAAGTGGGATCCAAATTTAGAGAAATGAAAAGAAAGTTGTCTGCTTTCTTGCAAGGTTTTCTGGGTGCTCTACTTAAGAAGCAGAAAGGAAGGAGCAAACTTGATTTAATATTTGTCCCTTTTTGATCTCATATGTATTTCTTTTTTGTTTTTTTATGAATACAGCAACAATATAGAGCAAACTAACTCAGCAAAATGCATTGATGGAGAGTCAAAGTCAAAGGCGATGCCAGGAAATAAATGACACAATTGATTTGGAACTTTTTACTGCACTTGCTACAATAATCTGGTGGTACAGTGTTCTGATATTAAAGTCTGACTTGGAGTTTTTTTTTTTGACTGTGTTAAGTGAAGTCTGGCCTTATAAAGTGTTCTCTTAAGGTATTTGGAGCCTGTGACATTAAATAGAGGTCAGCAGGTTTAAGTGTTGTGTCATTTAAGTTGTGGCAATTTGCCGTGCATTTATGCTGACTAGCGCTGTTAAATTCGACTTGACATTATCAGGGTCCGTGTTGTAACAGTCAGCCATGCAGGACGAGTGTCTCAGCTGATCATTTAACAATATGTGGCTGCCCCCCTTGTGCAAGCCTCTCCTAATTTTGGCTTTGTTATGAGAAACGGTCCCACTGCTCTGGGCTTCTAAAGAAGGTAATTACACTGAGAGATTCCCGGTGGGGGATTAAAACAAATGACACAGAAAACACAGCCCTTCCCCATCGCCACTCACTCAAGCCCTGCCTCCGCTCGAAAACCTTTTGCTTGTAACGCCTACATGCCCATGAATACACAAGCAGTCACAATAAAACACGCTGGCAGCTCGTGAAAATTAGTGGGGTCGAGGGGGAGAGGAGTCAGAAAATGATGGGGAGGCGTCACGATTTATGGACATGGTATAACTGGTTTAGCATTAGGAGCTTAAACAAAGCATATGGTATTCATACAGTTTGTAAGGACCGCGGCAGAAAAAGCATCTGTCCTGCCAGTTTTGTAGTGACAGGCTGCAGGGAGCATTACTCATCATTACAATCTCTGCTGGCAGCCTATTTTCACCACATTACAGTGGTATAATGAAGCGTGGCGCGCAAGCGTCCTCAGGTTCTCTGAGTAGTTCACCATTAGCACCAGCCGAGGGCATTCATCCAAGTAGCTTTATTGAACTTTTTACAGTTAGTTTATCGTATAATTAATTCATTACTGCACAACAATACATGTAGGTGGAAGCTTGGTGCAGTAGGAGTTCAAAAATTTCAAATTCATCTCGCTTTGACAGCTGTGGCACTTATTGAGAAGTAGGACCCATTGTGTTTGATTGATTGGCATTTACCAGTTCAGTAAAGCACTGTTTTCAAAGACCACCAACTCATTCTGCTCTTTTTTTCTCTCTTTGTGTATTTTCCAGGAACAAGGCAAAGTAGGTGTGACATTCAACATTGGGACGGTGGACATCAGTGTCAAGGAGACAACCACGGCGGTAAATGATGGCAAATACCATTTGGTCCGATTCACCAGGAACGGGGGCAACGCGACCCTGCAGGTGGACAACTGGCCAGTCAATGAGCACTTTCCCACAGGTACTGTTCCTGTTATTAATCCTTTATCTGATGCATTCTTAGTGGAAAATTATAGTTTTAAAACCACTGGACACCATCTGTTTATGCAAAAGGCACCACAGAGGAGAAATATCCAAAAAGATTCGCAGTCTCCAGTTCTCCAGAGTGAAATATCTTAAATGACTAAAAGGCATGCATTCGCATTAGCCGCCCCACACTATGCTCATGTGGCCATCCATGCCTCAAAAAACTTATGTCCATTCACACCGTCACACCTGACGCCACAGGAGAGGAGCGCACCAAGCTCGAATCTTTTGTCTTGCAAGAGGCATTAACTGTGCAACATCTGGCCGGTTCATTTCAGGGAAGGGATTGAAAGGCACCGAGAGGCATTTGGTCGGTGGGCAAGCAGGGAGAGGATAGAGGCAAAAACCAAGGGTGGCCTGTTGGCCAGATAAAGCTGCTGCCTGCCTGTATCTCTCATTCCCAGGTCAGCAGAAGCAGCACAGCAGCAGAATACAAATAGGGTCATCAAACGGAGCCCGCTCCATTTGGAGACTCAGGCGCTCCCTTCATTGGGAACAGATATGTGCTGCTCAGCTAGCTGGGTGAGAGAGTGAGAGAAAGGGGTGAGAGAGTGAAGGAGGGACAGAGGAAAAAAAAAAAATCCTCTCCCGCTTCTACTTAACAGTCCATTAAATTGAGTTGGCTCTCCTCAACTTTGATATCTGTGTCTCCATGTCAACCAGCTTAGGAGAAGCCACCTTTGTTTCCTCGCTTCCTATTACCCTCACTTCAATTTCACTTCAGTGAAACGGAGCAGTGGAACAACACGGGCACAAAGTGGCAGTTGAGCCGAGTAGCTGGGACAAAAGATAATACGAAGCTTCACTGATGGTAGAGTTGCGTCGAAGCATTGAGTCATAATTTGGACAGAAAGAGATGTTGAGTAATTAGACAGGCAGGTTCAAAGATGAACCCTTAGAGCCCCACAAATGCCCTTTACATCCAAATTTGCACCCCGTTTTCTCAGCTGCATTGCTCTTCAAGTATTAATTGCAGCAAGGTATAGTGCATATGAAACTGCCTGACTTGGCCTTTCAAATGATGCTAGTTCGTGTTATAAAGTGTCCATGCGATAAACTATTTTGAAATTCCATCCAATTTAATCAAATTAAGCAGGCAGGCACATACATTAAGCACATATTTTTCCACTTTTCCCATCATGGTTCTGATATTGGCAGATCCAGACAAGATGTTTCTACTGCCAGCATTTTATGGCGAGATGCATGAAAAACGTTATCATTTCATCATAGGAAATCTTTTTTCCTCAATGTAAAGGCTAGTATAAAAAATCTGCAAGTATTATCATGTTATTTGATGGAACATTTGGATAGCAGAGGTTATTCTGAAGAAAACAAAGTACAGCATGTATGGCTAGCGCTTATAACAACCCAGATAAAGGCTTAAAAGTAAAGGTAGCAAAACAAGCCTGAAAACAGCCTTGGGCTCAGAGGGTTAAACATTGTTCCATTAGAAAATGTGGCGCTAACATGAAATGTGTCCAAGAATGCAACTAGCGACAGTGTTTTCCTCCAAACACTGACAAAAACAGAAATAATACAGAAATGCTGATGCTACTTAATGGTGAGGAGCAAACAAATATGAGTTGATCCCTTTCACTTCTCAGCCCGATGTCTCAGCAGCCCTACAGCATGCTCCTAGTTGCATGCCTCCGCCGAGGACAGGGCAGCATCCTCTCCTGGCGTGACCTGGCACGCTGTTTTGGTTTGGTTCAATGCCAGCGCAGGTGACGTTAATCTCTTCTGTCTCTGGCTTTCTTTTGCCGTTGGCTGTCTTTCGCTTTTCTTTGACCAGATAAAGTTAGACGGGTTTCATAACTGCGTCTCAGCCACAGCTGCTGCAAAATACTGAGAAACTCCAGAACATGCACGCGAGTGACATCTCCGTCACGTACGCGTTCACACTCACACGTGCTCGCCGCTCAATGAAGGAATTGAATTAATCAGACGAACGCGGCCGCATTGTTGCGCGGAGGTAGTTTTTTGTCTTGTTCCTTTTATCCCTGTAACACAAAATAACAGCTTGTAATTTTGGGACAGGAATTGAACCACCGTCATAATTATCTCAAAGTGGCCCGGTGCATGAGCATTTAGTTCTCAACTTCCATCGATGCATCCATCAATACCTCAGTTCAGAAGTCAGCATCCCCTCAGAAATCCCTGCCAGATGGGCCGATAGGTTTGCATCTCGGCTTCAGAAATGCACAACAGAAAGAGCTCTTTTCACTTTTTAGCTCTGGATTCCTCTCAAGTGATCCCACTGAGGTTTGTTCCCTTTTCTGTCCACCTGCCATTGTCTTGAAATGGAGTTGAGGTCGGAGGGGGATCGAATACGTGGTAATTTCTTTTTCTCTTCTGCGCAGGTAATTTGCAGGACATTCAGCGATAGTAATTCAGCGATGATTGATTTTCTTTTTCTTTTTTTTTTTTTGTTGCCTTCCCTCCCTTGTAAAGGCGTTGTCATCTCTTGAGTAATTACATGTTAGGGTGCAGACTCATCGACTGCTTTCTCACACCCCTAATGCTTAACTTGAAGGCAGCAGCTGCCACGAGGCTCTCAGGCCGCTCAATAAACAGTTACCGGATCTGGGCATGCCCTCTCTCCCTGGTAGGGAATAGGTGAGGACAAAGGTGTCAGTTGTTTGCTTATCACTCAAAGCTGCTTGCAAAGTAGCCTGGGGTGTGTAAATTGGAGAGCTCGGCTGTGGTGTTTACTAAGTTTCCCCACCGAAGTATGAAGACATTAGGATTGGCTTTAAATAGCAGCGGGAGGTTTTTTACACCATGATGTGCTCTTGAATATTGAGCAGTTTTTGACAAGAATTTTCCTTCTTTGTTGTTTTAATAGTTTTCAGTTTATTAACAGCTTTCTTATTCGTGGTTGGCCGTCGTTTTTAACAGTTATAACAACATTGTGCTCACTCTGTTAATAGCGTCAAATGGAAGTTTGCAGTTGCAGTATTGCTAAAAGAGAAATAAAACAAACACGGGGAGATTGGGCGTGATGTGTAAGAGTCGCAATCTAACAGTAATATAGGTTTTAAACAACTCTCTAGATTTGTTTAAGTAATTTGGTGTAAGGCCAACGATTTACGATGTCTAGTTTAATGTTAAAGAGCCCATATTATACACATTTTAGGTTTCTAATTTTATGTCGAGAGTCTGCGAGGATATGTTTTCATGCTTTAATGTTAAAAAAAAAACACATTTTATTTCCTTCTTATCTTGACTATGCAGTGCTGCAGCGCTTCTTCTGACCTTCTGTCAGAAACATAGACTGATTGACAGTCGGCAGCGACGATTCAGACGAAGCGAGCAGAAGGCGGTAAATGTGGGCGGGCAGAGAGGGCCCGCCTCTCAATCCGTCTGACCAATCGCTGCTCCTATGGCTCCAAAAATCCAAGATGTCGACCAGGAAGTAGCAAAACCCTGGCTTCATTTTCTCAGTGCAGAAACCAACGGGTGACGTCACGTAACTATGTCCATCTTTTATACAGTCTATGATCAGAAATGCCTTATTTTAGCTCCTGTCTCTTTAACACAAAAAGCCCAGTCTGCACCAAGTGGTTAGCTGGACTGATGAAAGCAAGTCAATGTTAGTTATGCACCAGATCTACGACTAAATGTAGCTGACTTAGTTTCAGTTTGTGCCAAAGTAGACACAATGCAGGTATTATGCAAATGTGTGACACAGTGACATAGATAAGTAACAGATGAAAAGCCTGAATGTCAAACGAGGTGTTTCAGGCAGGTAAGGAACAGCGTTTAGAACTCCCTTTGGTGTGGACTTTGGTCTTTGTAAGTTTGCAAACCTTTATCCGCACACAAAAAAGCTATAATACACTAAGGAAAAACCCTAAAAGAATAATACGGGCTCTTTAAACAATTGAGCACGCTCACAGTTTGGCTGCGTGATAGGATATTGTTACTAGCATTTTAGACGTGCCAATTTTTGGTCTTACAGCTTTCATTTCAGTAAATTAGTTTCCAATCATATTGAAAAAAGCATACAAAAGAAGAAAAATGAAGCTAGAGACAAAATCAATGTACGAAAAAATGCTGCCAGACAGTTGAAAAGATAACATAATTAAATCAACACTTCAGATGCTACCACAATGCTTTATTAAATATCTCAGGGGCAAGGGCAAGTGACAAGGACTAATTAGTTGCTGTGCAAAGCGCAGAGCGGGAGACTTAAGGTCAGTTTCTTAGCGGCAGCCAAATTCTGGATGCGGAGTAATGTGCACATCGTATTAAAATGCTGTTCCAGGTCGTAATTGGGCAGAATGTCTCTGAAGGAGGCTTTGGAAAACTTCAAAAAAAATTGCACTTTATTATATAATGTGTGGCAAAACCAAAGAAATACACCTGTGGCCCTTCAGTAAAGAGGCACTTACTAAAGTATTGAGGACACGGGAGCTACTGCATTCAGTTTTTAAATAAATGACTGTGTGAATCATTTTAAACCTTGTAGTGCTCGGTTGCCACTTTACTAAATACACCTGCTCGTGCAATTCAATACAACGGCTCGGATATAAATTTAACCTTTCCGAAGACACTAATCAGTTTTGACTGTCACTGCCAGAGAGTTATTTAAAAAACCATATGTTTATCATCGAGGTTGCAGTTTGCAGTCACGTTTATCTGGATTGCATTGTGAGGAATGATTTTAATGTTTGTTTTTTTTAGTGCAAAACCACCACTAAATACTATAATTGATAAGAATGCAGCCGATATAACAACTTCTCTTACATTTTTTATTAAAACTGAAGCCGTGATAAGCTTTGTAAAGGGAGAATATACGGCAGAGCAGCACTGGATTGCATTAGCACCCAATAAAGTGGACAGAAAGAATAAAACACGTCTGGATTTGTACATCAGCATTCTGGTCCAGGTGTTTCCTTAGTCAGAAGAAATAAGAGCAGTGAAGCTAATTCT